TTATATTTCAGACCTTTTGCGCGCGTTGTATGTTCTTGTAATCCTTTATCCATGGCACATTGTAAGTTCACATGTCCTACAAACTAAACATGCATCGAAATCTCAGCTCCTGAGAAAAAAAATGTCCTATCAGCCGTGGAAAAATAAGATATAAGGTTCCCATATTGTTAAAGAACGTTTTCAGAAAGTTATTGTGATGACAATACTGTAGGTCGAAAACGTTCGGTTGTATAATAATTTTTCTAGTTTTTAGCCTTGTATATTTATCATTTTCAGAAAAATAGAACCACGTTTATCAGTAATGTCCCTGTAGGTTTTTTGTCAGCTCTCCACGTTTTGGACGGTAAACCAGGCTGGGCTATAAGACGTAAACTTTTAAGGAGACTGTGTCGGGCAGTTTGAATTATTTTTGCGAAATATTTTTAATTCTCAGGAGACCACAAAACGGTAGTTTGTTGTGCAGACTAAGAACAGTAAACACCAATAAAGTAGCGGTTAATTTTGGGAAGACTGCAATTAATTTCTCCCTTGTTCATAGTCTTAAACCCTTTTCAGTCTGAGAATAGAAATATAAGTAGTTAATCTATTTGTACTGTTTTAGAGAATTAAAGGCGTTCATTTGGGATTCTCCTGTCCTGTATTATGAGTCCTCTGAAAACTGTGACCTCACCACTGCTGGTGAACTGTTTGGTCGGTCAGGTTACGGCATTGGGATGCCTAAAGTAAGTACAAAACTTCAGCTTTATACATGCGTGGATATTAAGACATGATTGATCATCCCAGTTATACACACAACTTAAGCAGTTGTGAGTTTCAAGCCTGAAGTTTTGTTTTCAGGCCTTCATTTCACAATTGCTTAAATTGTATGAACATTGTATAACTGCGATGATCAGTTAAGTCTTCATATCTTTCTCCGCAGTTCAAATATATGATCTTTCATATGTTCACTTGTATACATGTATATTGTTTAATGAACCTCGAAATAGTTCACTAAGGTAGCTAAACTCCATACTATGGAAACTCGACTAAATATAAACCAAAGCTAGAGTAGTTTAAATTTGAGGAAATGGAGGTGGACTGTAAAAAAGAGCAAATATAAGAGTAAATTTTTCTTAGCAGCATTGTTTGATTCATTCTGTTTAATAATCATACTTTCGTTTTAACAGGGCTCTCCGTGGAGCAGTGAAATATCTCTTGCTATTCTAAATTTCCACGAGAGCGGCGTAATGGAAGAATTGGAGACCACATGGATCGACACCAAGAAATGCGATGAACAGAGTAATTCACCCGCCACACTAGGGCTTAATCACATGCTGGGTGTGTACAGAACTTTTTGACTTCCCAGTTATTCAACCAGCTTTACAAATTGAAACCAGTTACTGAGCTTAACAAAAGCAAAACCAAAACACGAACATAGTTTTGACGCTCAGATGAAGGGTCTTGTAAACAGCTCTCGTAAGGTCTCACATGAATGGCTCGATACCCTTTAAGAGAATAATAGAACAAACAAAAGAAACGTTGCCCCTAGCCCTAAAACAATAATAGCTGTCAGCTACATGTATTTACTTCAAGTTTTGATTGGTTCATTGTGATGTCTGTGTCCTTTGTGATTGGCTAGAGTGATAACATTGGTTTTGGTTTTATGACACTCAAGTGAAAACTGCTCTATAAACTTGATCTTAATTTCTCATTTTCAGGAGTGTTCATCATGGTCGCCGCTGGAATTGGAGCTGGGATTGTGATCATTATCCTTGAAATCTTGTACCACAAGCACCGCGGCTGGAAAGAAGAACAAAAAGAGCTGGCTAAAAAGACCACAGATAAGTGGCGCGCTAATATCATGATGATGAAGAAGGAACGAACCACAAATGGCCAACAACCCAATGGCGTTCTGGATTCCCATTCCCCACAGGCTGACGGGGTAGTTCGCAGGAACCCAATCTACAACCCTGAAAATCACGTGGACAGCATTAATAAGTTCACGTATAACTAAACACACGCGCGCTCTCCACGCGTGTTTTGTAAATAGTACAAATGTTCACGTGCGGTAACCTAGGTTTGCAAACTTGAAAACAGGGATGCCTTACTCCTTCGGTCTCACTGAAACATTTATCAACCTCTTAATTTATTGCTTCGTTTATAACTAATGAAAAAGGAGAATGCACGGTTCTAAACTTCATACGCATGAAATCGTGTAAAATGGTTTATTTCATCATTTTACACTGTCCTAGTACAATTCACCCAAAAGGGTGAAAGTCACCCAAAGGGGGTCAATGACTCCAATCATGTTGGTTTATGTGTTATGTGGTTAAATACGCAGTAATTCAGATCCGTCAAAACTACTGTACTCTATGTTGAATTGAATGGTCTGTTGCTGTTGGGTTGTAGGGGCTTTCAATCAGATCCATCGCTGGTGCAGTCTGCGCTTACTGACAACTACAGCCGGTTTTTTACCGTGTGTTTATTCCTTGTCCGAGTGTCCAGTGCCAATCAAATTTCCACGCTCGATTGAACTGGAACACTGAATGCGGTACAATGGTACTTGAGACTGCTTCTGATTGGGTAATGGTATGTCACGATGATATTGACCAGTCAGAAAGCAGAATGATAATAACGTCACAGGGTGATGTTACGGGTAGGGTTAGGTGTAGAAGAAAAAAATTGTTTTCTTGTAACGACTGGGTGTAAAACGTCACAAGAATTTGAACGTTTCTGCTACTATTGCAGTGGTGGTTTTATTTTCCCTGTTTTCTCGCCAGCACATTTGCACAAGAAAACGACTTTGAAACGGACTGAATACTAAGGTATATTTAAAAACAAACCCCATCCGGTAGTTATTTATGAATATTACTAATTAATATATTACTTAATTCTTGAGATTGCAAATTGACTTCGATGCTATGTTTATGTTTATGTTATGATATGCAGGACTGCGTGTAACAAATTTGTTATACATGCACAGCGAAATATCTATATATCCTATTTATGGAATACGACCGCGATAAAGTCAAATGCCGGGACTGATTTATCTTGACCGTTATGAAACAACTGTACAAGGTAGTAATACTTACCTATTGGTTGTAATTTATAAAAACAAAACCAGGAAATCAGTAAACTTAAATAACGTCAATTATTATTCGGAATTAAAGCAAAACATGCAACAGACGTCAAGGGCGAGAAAATGCGCCTAAGCCAGAATGTGACTGTTGTTTCACTTTTGGCTGGTCGATAAAAAGCTGGAAACAAACAAACGTTGCTTGAACTTTGAGAACCAAACCAGGGTTACCACAGGTCAGGAAAAGGTCAGGGAAAGAAAGTTTCCACCAACTGAAGTCAGGGAAAGGGTGCTGTAGTTTTTGACAATGTAAATGGAACTGAAAGCGTTAATTGGGTAATTTTCTTTCGATCAATCTGATTATGATCAAAATATGTTAACTGTCTTCAGGCCAGGGACTGAAATGTCCAGTGATTCTTTTTTGTTTTCTCTTAGCGAAAACAAAGATCGCACAATAGGCGTTAACTGTTCCATTACCACAATGTGAACACGGTATGAAAATTGAAACCGAAAAGGGCCTTTATATCTATGATATTCAGTTGCACGTCGCTTGCTGTGCTGTGCTGTGCTGTGAAGTATTTATTTATTTATACACCAATACCCACTATCTCCTCAGCTTTATGTAAAATACTTAATATTAAATCACGATATTGTATTTATTAGATATGCTTATGTATACGAACCCTCGCGGAATATATTATTTGCAGTATCTTTAGATTAATGGATATAATATATACTGTTTTTAACGAATTTATATGGTACACTTCTGATAAACTCAAATAATCAAACTTAGATTAAATAAAATGCGTTGTAATAAATACGTATGTATGTGGAGACAGTCTAATGAATATTTTTTTTTAAAAAAAGGTACATGACAGTAGGCCATTTCCGAGTTGCTTTTATCTCAGTTTCAAAACGAGTCTTGGTGTTCAATGTTTCATATGGAAATGAGATCATTGTCTTGCAAATCAATCCCATTTCTATATGAAAGTTTGCGCACCAGGACTCGTATTGAGACTGAGGGAAAAAAACAACTCGAAAGTGGCTTATTCGGATCAGTGCGAAGCTAAAACTTGCTTAATATTCTCTTCCCACAACATAAATGGGTTTTTTCGATTAACCTACTCAGTACAATAAAATAGAGTCTCACCTTAACAAATTGACGTAAGTTGCTCATGCGTCTGTCCAGTTATTGACCATAAATTTCTTCATAAAATCCGCAGAGTACTTTGACATTGTTGTGACGAAATTTATGATCAATACCAGGACAGACGCGTGAAAAACTTACGTCAGTTTTTTTAAACATAATAACAGCAGCATGAACGTCGCATAAATTATAAATTCATATGTCTGTTTGCCTATTGACAATGAAAATTAGCCAATGAGCGCGCGAGAATTTCTGTAGTTGTCGCAAAAATCGTAAACGACGTCGTCATACGTTCTGGCCGTCATCTTCGCTAGGAATAGTAAGGATCTAGTGATACATCCAGTTCTCATCCTGTCTGTTTTCTGGTAACTATTTACAAAAGGAATCGTCAATACGCCAGTCTCTAACTGTCATAATCAGCCTCTCATGGTCTCTGTGGTGCATTGGAAAAAGCAGAAACTGCTGAACCCGGCCGCTAAAATAAAACAAAATACCAATGTACATTAACAATGACTGAAAGAACCGACCAATTGACTTAAGTGGCAATCTCTTTGGTCAAGCTTCTTTATTTTCTGTGTCCTTGTCCTTAAATATGAATGACGCTGAGAGATCTCTTCATGTTTCATGTTACGACTGAAGTTATCATTACGGTTTTATTGCCATTTAGGGGTACTGCTACCCTTTTCCTGGCCTACCATCTCTGGCAGTAAGAAAACTAGTTCATCAAAGTCTCCGTTATTATGTCAAGTATCTTCAACAGTACTCTGATACCTCATTAATACAAATGCGGATAAGGCCAGTTGACATTTCTTCGTGGTTGCTGCTTATTTACGTGAACGCTAAATATAGGTCATGTCGCTGTAGCTTCGACTAGTTACCTATCCTCGAGCCTCATGGCACATAGGCCTTAATAATTAAAGTATAGTTACCCCGCTTCCGTTTCCAGTGGAGAGAGTTTCTTTGGAGAGATCATTGTAGTTCTGAGGTGACAGTGAATTGGTCTGAAACAAGTCGTGTGTTTCGGTCCAAATCTTCTTTTTCCTGTTGAACGCCCGTCTCACCTACAAATAGCAATGGCATGGGAAGTTCAGACAATAGAGGGCGTTTTTCATTTTGCATGCTTAAGAAGTACTGTGTAAAATTTCATTACTCACCTCTGAGTTGAGAAGGCAATGAAACAGGAAAATAAAGAATCCCTAAAAGCAGGAAATATAAATTTTAATTTAACCACCTAAGAAATGACACTGGACTTTTTATGAGTATTTCTCTTCGTAATATGTGATCTCGTTAGATGCAACAAATTACACCTTTAAATATAACACATCAGCCCACAATTGTAGCCAGTCCCACCATGTTAACTTATCTACAAACCTGCAACGAGTTAAAAATAGCGAAGAGATACTGGAAAGCAAGCGTGTCACTGTTGAACGTCAATATTCCAAACAGCCACGTGATCCCCAGTAAAGGTAACAGCACAACGGCTGATTGAACACCTGACCTGTCAGGTTAAAAACACAGGCTTGTTACTTACAGGAAGTCAGGGAACTGTATTCTTTACGAATTAACTATGAATGAGGTCTTTATTTCTTATTGAAGAAACGTCAGACTCAGCAGACGTGAGTCTTTAGAATCAAATCCTGAATGAAACTAAGATGAATGCAATTAAGGGTTTTGTTAGCTTTTTACTGTATTTATTTTCTTTGTTTCATCATTTTTTTTACTGTAGTTGCATATATTTTGATCTTTCGCCTTTAAGACTCAAAAATGCGAATCAACATTTCCCATTAGAGTCTAGTCAAACGACGAGAATTGAAGTTTTGTTTAATATAGCAACATTGGTTCATTTAACTGATGCTTTTCAACAGCTTTTCTGTAATTTTGATATTTTTCTCTTACTTTTTTGAAACCAACCAGTATGACATTGTTCTTCCGTAGAAAACGCGGTCGCTACATTCTTCGCCTACCTTGCAGACTGATATTTAGTGTCGTCTCCCATCGTTGGATGATTCAATCTTAGTATCTCTTTCACAACCATACCAAGTATGATTGAATTTACCTGCAAAAAATAATGAACGTAACGTTACCGTTAGGTCTACTGTCAGTTGGAAATTCTCGACAAAAATACAACCGGATTGAAATCGGTTTTCTCTTACCAGTGCAATAAGAAGAACTGGCACTACAAAACTCCAAATGGTTCCTTTCTGTACAGATAACCAGCAACTGTGAAATAACAAGAAAAGGCGCTAAGATATAAAACGCAACCGGAGTTACAATAACCAGAACGCGGTTTGTTGCAAACTTTTAACCACCTAGGCGTTGAATACAGGGGGGTGGCGGAACCAGGAGAAGGTACCAAGGATCCGAAACGTCACGCCTTCACTCTCTCTCACCTCTCGGCGAGCACGTATAGATCCGTCATGTAATCGATCATCCACATTTGTTTCAGCTAGGCGGTAAGCTACAACCAACCAGCCAGCGAACCACTAAGACATAAGTCTACTAACGTTTAACTAATGACACATCGGATATATACAGACCTTGTGTCTGTTCCATAGCCGTCAAAACTTGCTGATAATGTGATGACAACAAATACAAATGGAATTCCTGTTGATTCCAATTTAAAGTAAAAATCAATAATGTTTCACTGTCATCCACGCATTTCTTTTTGAAGTCGCAGGTTAAAAGCTGAACCTGGAATCCCTACAAAACGGTTAGGTTATTTTCCACCGTAGGAAACTTACGTCAAGTCAATTTATAATGAGATTGATTGATTTAAAGAACGGTAATTCATGGATTTGAAGATGAGTTCTTCACAGAACTAGCCTTACCGATCAGTCAGGCAAGGCACTAACCTTACGTCATTACATTATCACAGTTAACAAGTAAGCAGAGTGTGACAGAAAATGACAGAGAATTCAAATGTAGGCTTGATTATGAAAAGCGTAAGACGACGGAACAGATTATTTTCTTTAGCATGCAGGGTACCTTACCCCAAGCACATGCGCAGTATTTCTTTATTCTGCTGTGTCCGGTCTCAAAGACTCGAACGATCATAACGTAGAGCCAGACCCCCTCGATTAACATCCAGCTGAACGAGACTAAGTTAAAGTAATGTAGAAGGACGGCCACGATCTTGCAAGCTGCCTGATGGAATTAAACAGATAGAAAAATGTGAATTTTGACTTCCACGAGTTAAAGGTAAAGCGTTGGTTACATTTCTTACTAAAACTAGAAGAAAAAAAGATGTGGTTTCGGCATTCTTGATTTAATTGTTAAAAAATGTATTTAGTAGGCGAGCAAACCAAAATGAATGATCACGTGGTATTAAGTTTTCAGGGTCTTAGCGTGTGAATAGTTGAGCAAAAATGTTTCAAAATGGTAAAACGCTGAAATCACCTTATTTTGCGTGGCCTCAATTCCAGTAAGAAATACAATCTGAGCGACTGCTAATGCTAAAACAAGGTTTAGATGAATGATACTTGTCTCTGTTCTAGTCAACCTGTAGAGGAAAATACAAATTGATACAAATAGAAATGTTGTACTTCGCGAGGTTGTGCAACAACTTCTGCGCGCGCAGCGGATGACAATAGACCTTCCGCCGCAATGCTCTCTCACAATAAGTGAAATTATGGAAATAATTTGTACTATGTAAACTGTTGGTTCAAAATGCCAAATGAATACACTCCCGGAATATTTGCTTCTTTTCTGCCTCTTCTAAGTCGTTGGCAGGTGTTCCTTTAGGTTTAATTCTCATTCACAACAACTAACTTGGAGAAAGACATCTCCTATTCTACATAGTCTCAGATAACTTCCAAGGTGTTTAGTTTACTTACTTAAGGAAAGTGATCGTGATAATAGTAAGAGCCTCGCCCAGTAGGGATAAACCGCAACCGACGTATGTGATCATTTCCAAGGCTTGAATGTGTTCCTCACCTGGCTTGGTGACCTATGCAAGTAAATACCTCGTGTACCATAAACCGCTTAAAATAATTGTGGTTTTGATTTAAAAAAAAAAAAATCACTGACATCTTTTCTCTCGAGGAAAGCGAAATGTTTCATATCCTTTATTTGTTAAAGGAAACAAAAAACTTGAAGAAAACAAATATACATACCAACTTAAAAAAAGCAAAGAAATAACGAAACTAGACGTTGCTTCTTAGTTATGTATCAACTTGAAGCTGATAAAGGTAAGTGTTTTGCTGTTGCGTGATCGTAGCGTTAGCCCATGCCATGGCATGCGCAAAGTGATTTCGCTCTGACAAAGGTCTAACGATACAAAGTGAGCTTCCTAAACTCTTTACGTCGATTAACATACCTTTATCAGCTTCAAGTTGATAAACAGCTAAACATTTCACTTGCCCGTCGACGCTGCCCATCTGTTTCTTCAGAAAAAAATAACTTTGTTCTCTCATTAACAATTAGATTATGAGCTCGAGATTTATACTCGGCCTTCGGCCTCATCAATTATCACCCCATAGAAATCGAGAGCGAATAATCTAATTGTTTTAGTAGAATTCTTACTTAAATTTTCTTCAGGTTACCATTTCAAATTGCTTTTGTACACTGTATTTAATTTTACGTTTTAGAAACATCGCGCAGACTGAATTGTCGTTTTGCATTTCCTGTTGTGTACGCGCGCTCATCAGTCTTCTTAATATCTTGTAGTTTTTTAAAGTCACGAAATCCATCTTTTAGTCTTCTCAGGAATTTAATTATCCATTTGTATCTAAATGTTCATCGTACTACTTCGCAAAAACGAGGAAACTTCGTTATTTTGCTGACGACCTCCAGCCATTGCACACTAATGGCTGATAGTGTACGAGTAGCTCAGCCAATCAGATTGCAGCATTTGCATTAGTAAACTAGTAGAATCATACTAATAGATGATATTGTTGCGTAGAGCATAACATTGCAAAGTGTTCGTTAGTAGTTGGATTCATTCTGACGAGTTACACGGAAGTTACCAGAAGTCCTGCGCTCTTGAGTACAAATTAGATGTACTACCAGCACTACGTTTTATGCACGTATCATGTTTGAAATTCGTTGTGTTCACCTTGTCATCATCAGTAACTCTCATAAGAACAGCAAAGTGTGTCAGGTGATTACAGCGACACACAGTAGCTTGATCATTGGACAGCTTCTCGTCTTTGTAGCATCCATCAGTAGACCAATGGCCTGTCGAATTACTAGTCGAGCTAACGAGAAATATTGATCACTAGAGTTAACATTGGCGTCAAGAGAAAAAGAGGAAACAAAGCGTAATTCCACGCGCAACACCATTTTGAATTTCATTGGATTAAGCGCGCCTGCTAACTTTGCGGATGTCTCGGGAAACTGATTTCCGTTTCTGTGACATTTAAAAATAACTTAACTAAAATTAACATATCCCAAGGGTAAGGCGTTTCCCTCTCTGTCCCCTGATTTTCTCTTGTTAGTGTACAATCACCTGAAATAGATCGTCCGCCAAGACAGTAAAAGTACTATCAATCCTTGTTGTTAGTGATAATAAACGTTTCTAAAATATCTATGTTTTCTATTCTGTTTTCTTTTCTTTCTGAAGTGCGAAGAGAGTGAAAATTATTATCTTCCAACTAGTGCGGTAAGAAATGAGGATTGCCTACATGGCGGCTAAAAAAGTGAAAAAAAAAAAAATAGTTTTCATTTTTTTACGGTGATTGTTGTCATTGATGAGTATGACTTTGAAAAGTCAAAATCCAAAAGACGGAGGTTGCGTTGACGGAAATTGTTTCGTTTATATTAGTACACGGAAACAGTCTAAAAGGGATTTTATCAAGAGTTACGCAATTGCTAAGCTTTAATCTCAAATTCAAAACGTCTGGCGGTCGCTTTCAAATTCTGTCGTCATGTCGTTCAAAAATCACCGAAAATAAATCCAATTCTATTCTCTTTCGCTTCGCTCAGCTGTACAGAAAAAAAAAATTCAGTTATAAGTGAAGGGCTCAAATAATACCACAAATAGTGGAGGGAGCCTTATTCGAGAAACTAAGAGATGCGCTGAATATGGATCGCGAGAGAGAGAGAAGCAGCAAAAAACGTATTAGTCAAACAGTGACAAGCCAGAGAATAAATGTAAAAATGTTAGACGCTATTTTACACAACCATAATTATAATAATAAAAAATGGCCTCGAGTAAAGTGGTAGGCGTCACGTGGTGTGATATTCACAGGGAGTGATTTATAAAGGTCTGATTATCCCGGTTGGAAAAAAACATAATACAAGCTAATTTGATTCTTAGAAGAAATACATTTTGCCCTCCCTTGAAAAATTCTTCAAATATATTTCTGTTAGTGTACGTGGTGCATATCATCAGTTTAGGAGCGAAGGCAGAAACTGACAATTTTAGCACTCTTAACTAGAAATGAAGCAAAGTCTTCACGATAATGCTCCTCAGGTTAACGTCATACGATGAATCGAGTGACACTGAGATAAAATGGCGGCACATGTTGTAAATCATCTGTCGTGGAACATATGTTGCACTATAATTTATGTTTCTTGCGCAAGAAAGTAATTTTTTTACGTAAGAGTAATTAAAAAATACTGGCGCTGTGTCTTTGTTGTCAAACAGTAATTTAGGGAGCTGATATAAATTACAAGTTATAAAGCAATAAGTCAGTTTTCTTTCACAATCTTTGCCATATTTCTTTCCTGTTTCTGCATCGAACACGGCGAAACATAACGCAGCAAACCATCTCCAAACCGTCTGATGTACATGGTGGTACACGAAGCAAACATTCTCCCGTGGAGTGTATACTACCTTTACTATAATCTTGGTTTCTTGCGCAAAAAAAGCAATTTTTGCTTTGTGGAAGTAATCAATAACTATTGTGGCTGTCTTTATTGTCAGACAGTAATTTAGGGAGTCGATTTAAATTACAAGGTATGTAGTAATAAATCAGTTGTCTGTCACTATTTTTGTCATATATCTCACCTGTTCGTGTATCGCCAAAAAGCACACTCCATTACCATCTTGTCGGAGCTGCTGAACTAATAAGAACAAGGATTTCATCGTTTTAGCGAAGATTTAGAAATGGTAAGCTGTTTGTGGTTTTTTCTTCGTTTTTTTTTTTTTAAGTAAACCCTATTAACCCAACATAGTCGCTAAATGTTCCGGCTGAACAAAGCATTCGTTCACAATTTTCTGACGGGACTGACGATCTTGTCATTGCTAGGCAGGTCAGCTTCATCGTAATATCAAATTAAAAAACACAGCTATTACTACTGTCTGCTGTGTTTCGCATCTCGCCCTTCTGACCAGCATGTTTGAAAGAGGGTGACACCAGCGTTCCAAAATTAAACAATTTTTAATTTGCGTGTTTTCCTTTTTCATGTTGAGTGTGCTCAAAACGCAGTCAATTATTTTTTTTTTTCATACAACGCCGCGCGTGAATGTAGATGGAACTGAGAAAAATCGCGACGAATAAATGATACATAGCCTGTCTCCCAACTAGGGGTTTGTGAATGCATTGAAATGGTAAAGAGAAATCGTGCGTTTACATCAGGTAAAATGTTGTTAAGAAAGAAAGCATTCTGTTTATTTACATACCTTGGTGTGTTCTAGTCGAATGTAAACATCACCATGGAAGGACTCGTTTGCAGCATGAATTACCGACCCTGATATAATCCTGCTGTTCAGGTAATACGGGATCCGCTGACTAGATGTATTGCCACTGGGATAAAATACACCAATGATTTCACTGCTGTATGCATAACCTAAGCTTTTTTATTAACATCTATATCTGTATAGGTTGAGCTGGTAAAATCCCAAGACAACATACCGGCTGTAAAAACGGTTAAAAAATATTAACAGGGTGTCCAGTTCCTATTTTTTGCTATCATCGTTTTTGAGTAGATTCCTATCTTCTCCTTTTTTTAAAATGAAACCTCCTATTTTTTCTATTTTTTTTTTCTGATTAAGCAGAGTGTGTTACAAAATTAAAATGGATTTGGGGCCTCGGGTGTTTCAGATTTAGATTTAGCATAAAGCAATTGCTGTCATGTCTTTGATGTTCTAAATCAACAAAAATGTTAACGACAGTAATTAATTCTTTGCTCACTTTTGCTTATTGGATTTGTGCTCATAACTTAGATTTACTGTTTGAACCATATTGTCAATGATTTTCTACTGCACCTATTGTATCTACTAGTCTTATAAATGTAGTTCAGTTGACCAAGTTGAAGTCAACAGATAATATTCTGCATTAACCCATTGAAAATACATTAGGTATCCATATATGTCCTTACGCTGAACTGTTCCTCACGTACAGATATCTGATTATCTAATGGAAAAAACTCTACCAAATTTCTGCTTCTCCTTCAAAGAAAAGGAGGTCAAATTAAGGGTCAACCGTCGTTGTTACGCCATATATTTAAGGTTAACTATTGTCTTAAAGTCAAATAATTATGGTAGAACTGACGTTTTAAAGTCAAATTAAGGGTGAACTGTCGTTTTATGCGGAGCAAAGAGTGAACTGTTGTTTTTAACCTTCACTAAGGATTTGCTGTGTTTGCTATTATCTGCTGGTTTCATGTTAAAGTTCTCAAAAGCTAGTTCAGTTGTTTTAAAGTACTGTTAAAACCAGGGAATTCGAATTGAGGAATTCATTGTAGAATCACTGGTGTTGTTTCTAAGAAAATATTCAAATGTCAATTTGACAAATGATTGCCGATTGCCCTTCAATTATTTGTTATTTAAAATCTATTGTTAAACAAACTGATGTTGTTATCACAATGAGAACTAACTATATCTTTTTCCATCAAAGTAGCATTGATTTTCCTATTTTTTGAAAGAAAGTTCCTATTTTTCTTATTTTTTCCATCATGAGTTTCCATTTCCTTTTTTAAAAATTTGTGAACAACCATGCTGCTGGACACCCTGAATAGATAATGAAAACACTAAGTGAATCTAAAAGAATTACTATAAAACAGTTGACAGATTGGATTTGAAAGAATCTAAGAAAGTAGAGGTAACTATCTCCTTGTGAGGCAGTTCCAGTCGGCGATAGTTCTTGGAAAATACAAATACGTCCTTTTAACCTCGAATTTCGGCAAAAATACTCCGCTGCGCGTCGTGTTTTCAGCTCTCTTCTCGGTGTTTGGATTTCCCGATGAAACGCTGTCTCTCGTGTTTGATATATTGCCTCAAACATATTAATGTGAATGTAGTAAGCTCCAGCAATTTCGGGAAAGAAACTTCACATATGATTAATACTATTTACCCACCTGTATACTTGGCTGATGTTGTTTTGCACCTCGTCGCCCAATGTCCTGTAAAAGGCTGCAAAAAACCGCGCCTTTCCTGTGGCGGCGATGACACGAGATCAGAATACTGTGTAATCAGATGTAGCTCACTACAACTTTAGACTTACAGAGCGATCTTCCAAGAATGTTTTTGTCGCATAAAAACTATTGTTTCCTCGGGTAAAGAAATGTGAAGAACAGAGGTCATCGTTCCAATGCAATGCGCTTTTAGGTATTAATCAAGTTAGAATTCACTTGACACATTTGTGTGCTTTCTGGGCGTTACCTGGAATTTGAAGAGTAAAACGTACCGTTGTATAACTCCAGATTTTGCGTTGAATTTCCTGGCAAAATTGTAATGCTGTTTTCTGTGGGAGAAGTAGCGCCATCAAAAGAAGCGTTTAGCTCTCCATAGCATGCTTTCATATCTGAAACGAAAGAGAGAATAACAAGTATTGTTTTAAACTGAATCACAATGAACGTCTGTCTTTTTCAAAATAGAAACGTAGCGACTTTGTGTTTCTGTAGATGTCGTATTGCCAATATTAACAACGCATGAATAATACCATTATTTTTGTAATACTTTGAACGGGGGCAGGGAGGTAAATTAGGACTTCCGTGTAGAAACGTCGGGGATGGTCGTCTTTTCGCTTAGTAATAGTAAATGGACTGAGTGAAATGCAATTCAGGGAGTAATCGCGTGATTACTACCTAAATTGTACGACACGAGGTCCTATTACGAATTAATCGTATCTATAACAAATTTCGGAATTAGAAATGTCTTTTAAAAACTTCTTTGGAGCGAAAACGTCTTTAGCGCTTTTCATAAGTTTTGAAAACTGCCGGAATTGTTGCGAAGGAACCCATTAAAGCGCGTAATTGACGTGCGAATCACGTCGGTATCCAATTGCAATAAGTTCAAATTGGATACCTGTAATTGGACACCCAAGTGATCGCGCGCCGATTACGTACCAAATAGGCGCGCGGAAAACCAATCACGATCGAGAATTTTGTTATAGATACGATTAGGTCTGTAAATCTCAGATTTGAGTTTCATTTAGAATCTAAAACTAAACGCCGCTATTTGTTAGCTGCCAAGGTGTCTTTTAGAACTGCTCTCGAAGAAATAGTGAGAAATGCTGTCAAGTTCATTTTAAAGTGGAACCTTTTAGAGAGGTCGAGCCACGCCTAGATTGGTCTCCTTTACGGGTTTGATCCAAATTTTCCGACAAGCGTTTCTGATCTTTTCACATGGGATTCCCAGCCCTCCCCCTGTTATTATCTCGGTAATCCTTATAATGCATGAGACCGGAAGGCGTAAGATGGGAAGATCGTTTTCAAATGTGGTTGAAACGTAACGTGCCGACACGACCTACATGACTGGATTACGGAGAACGGAATTGCATTGGAAAACAACGATAGCAAACCTAGAGCTGAACAACTACCTTTGTAGCAAGTTATCAAGAGTTCGATCTCTCCTTTTGTTGATAGTTGAATGAGTGTAAAAGTGATACCTTCTGATAGAACAATTTTGTTATGTATCATATTGCCCAATGAAATTGAGGAATGTGATATTTACGAACCAGAACAACAGTTGTTGTGGTCTATAACCGTTCTCAGTTCCAGTATAAACGGCAATGTCCATAAAATTCGCTTGATATTGTGACAAAACATGCACAAGGCTAAGAATGTTAAAAAATGGCTAAAAAGTAGAAACAAAAAACAGAAACAAACGTTTTCGAAATAATGCCATCTTCATCTTCACCCTGAAATCTTCACCCGTAAATATTTTGTCGTAAACTGGAATGTTTCCAAAGTCAACAGAGGTTACAAAGTCATAAAGTAGTATTTACCTAAACTTGGGTAACTGACAGCTATCACCGGAGTAGCGTTGTTGAGACGCGATGCAATGCTTTCACCAAGCGTTTCAACTTCTCTGGCGATTTCAAAGGCACCGTTTGATTCGCTCACGTTTCGATCTTCATCAGAATCATCAAAGCTTTCCAGAAGATCACTTGTCTTCTTCCCAGCGGTCTATAAAAGCGTTATTATTGAAGACTGAAGTAAATTGCAAGTTTGAATATGAGATGCGTAAGTTTAGTAAGTGCTGACACATGGCACGTTAGAGAAACCATAGTATAAGCTATAGGGGTCTGTACTCTTTGTAGTCGTTCTTATCATTGATAGTGAAAGGGCAGAAACGGACGTCTTGAGATGATATTTCTAAAAACAACCATCTGCTGTTTTATTTAAAAAAGATGATCATGTTAAAAGCCGTATTAGAATTTTGTTTCCGTTTAAGCGACGGAATTTATGAAATTTCCCTCTTACTAAGTTTTTCTAGATTTTTTGTGTGCAAAATATGTATCGCATGAAAGAGATAAGCCTTAAATTTACAGGTCTCTTAACATAAAATAGCTGAGAAAGATCTACTGTTATCATGAGATATATCTTACCGTAATTGTGTCAAGAAGGAATTCAGCTGTAGGGCTTACAGCATTGTCAACTCGAGATCGCAAATCTTTCAGTATCGATAAGACACGATCAGTCTGTGAAGTAAAGCAATCGCTGTTACACTAGTGGCTGTTATTACCTTGAAATAATCCTCATAAATTCGATACAAGAAGGAAGAAGGAATTCAACTGTAGGGCTTACAGCATTGTCAACTCGAAACTGCAAATCTTTCAGTATCGATAAGACACGATCAGTCTATGAACTAAAGCAGTCACTGTTACTCGAGTGACGGTCATTACCTGGAGATGATCCCCATGAATTCGATACATACATTAAGTAATTTCTTACCTTTTGCGACTCTGAAAGTTCTTTGCAGTTGACGTAATCAGGATAATTGGGATCTCCTTCAATTTTGCAATCCTCACCTGGAACATCTGACGGAAAGCATTTCAAAATAATATTTATTGGCAATTTCCATATTTTTGTAGTCGTAGACATGGAAATCACGACCTACGTCATTTAATATAGATGAAGAATAAGAGACTATAAAGACTAGAGACGCATCTGTACAGATCTCTGCCTGAAAAAGTATTCGCAAATACAAGTGAGAGCCTGAAGTACTGACCTTTATCATTTTCGTTCCGGTATTTTTGAATAATTTACTTCAGATTGAGGATAACACTGTGCAGACGAGTCTACTCAGTTATTGAGCGGTCTTAGTTATCTCGAAACTGGACTATGGAACAAAACACCAACTTTTCTTCAGTTGTCTTTGTAGATTCAATTTAGGGAGACGAATTTTTTTCCTCGGTGATGCTACTCACCTTGCTTGGTTAAATGTTTCACCAAGTATTCGCTGCTAATTGGCATTTTCATCTCACCGCTTGGTGTTCTCATTGCAACGTACATCCGGGCAAAACCTATACCTTGTTTGTGCAAGACATCCATGTAATAAAGTCGCGTCTCCTCTAATTCTTGGGGAAGAGAAATCTGGTAATCTTTTAGTTTGGAATCGCTGTAAATAAAGTGGAAGAAAAACAGAGTTCAGTCAAATACTATTTATAAGGCCTCTTCATGTCAGATCAATGAGAATCGTTTCAAGGAAGACGGGGAAGAATATTGAATTAAGATTAGTGATTGGCACTTTCCTGATCCTTTTTATTTTGCTTAGTGCTCCTATTTAGCACACACCAGTTAAGCCAATATTTACTCGGCCAACGAACCAAAAAAGAAGATCCCCTTTGATATTATGGTTAGACAGACGACGATTGTGTACGGCTTGCAGTGGATCATTTATACTAATAGAAATTGAAATCTCTGTAGCATAGTTACTGTGTGACTTTTAAAAACCGGTGAAAGGTATGCGTGCCCAGCATTACATGGTCTTCTATAAGCTTCTATAAGCTTCTATAAGCACGGAAATTTTCAGTACACCTCTCTACCTTGAGGAGAAAACTAAAGAAAGAACATGGGCTACTTTACCTGCAACAATTGCTTACGTTTGGGACCTTTTCCGCCCTTCTCTGATCAATAATCAGCCGCTTATTTCTGGGATTGACGTCACTGCTCAGAAACACCTGACAGTAATCATCGCAGAACGTATAAAAAGTGTAGTTGCCTGTTTCCTTGGCGAGGAAATAAGAACGGTATCGACTTCCATAGTTGGAAGCAAAAGTCCTTTCTCTAAATATTGGAATATATTGACGTTTAGTTGCATTGTTTGGGAAGCGAGGATCCGAAGTGAGGCGTTTGATTGCTGTACCATTAATACCTGACCATTGTTCACTGAACACACTCCCAGTTCCTTAAAAAAAGAGCAGAGTTAACATGCTTTATCAGTGATATGTATCATACTCAAAGTACAGCGCAACCCTCCCAGTGCGACTACCGCTGTGGTTAGACCTCTCGGACGGGACCAGTCCTGGCTTGACACTGTCACTGGTCCCCCGAAGGAGGTTCGGTTGTGTAATGTTACTTGGGTGGGTAAGCTATACAATGGATTAGACTCTGCTGTAATCAGGATAGATATAGCAAGATCGTAATGTTTTTTTCCATTGGTAGACGGCTTTAACACTTGATGGGGTCTCCAACCAGTTTTAGAAAACATTCCAGCAAGAGTTTGCAAAAATTTCAAAGCAAACTGAGCTGGATTTGCATACGCGAGCGTCATACTTAATAGCCCGATTACATTGCAATCCTTACTAATCTTTACCAGCAGTTCTCGCTTTCTGTTTGCTTGTACAACATCAAACCGTCATTTTCGAGTTTCCTTTAACATCATCCCTGTATCGGGTCTCGGCGTTCGTAAAGTTTTTCCCATTTTCGTTTTTCGCAAACGAACCTCAACGGCTTGCTATACTTTTACTTTTAACTCGTTTGTTCTTGGCCTTAAGCATTTGTATTTTCATTTTTTATAATAAAAAACAAAAAAAAAAAAACAACAACAAAAAAAAAAGTCATGTGTCATTGAAATGTTAAAAAAATGATCTCCACTATTCGCCCATTTTTCAAGATCCACTGGATGACTCACTTTTATTTGGAGTCGTATCATATTGTATATATAGCGGCAACAGTTTTTAATAAACTGAGTAATGTTAAACGAGGCTTTACACTGAACAATCAAGTGACCTGCGCATAAGGACAAAATTAAAAGGGGGAGAACTCAGTTCCGTAAACCCCTCCAAACGTTTGTTATCCGAGAACTGGCGATGCAATGCTAAAACTTGAGGAAGGATCTCCGCGCACAAATGTTTAAACAAATGAGCAAGCACAATGAAGGACAGGAACAGCGTCTGCAAGTAATTTTTTACGTCAATTCGTGATATTGTCGAGCTGTTGCCAGTTACACGAGAAAATCTTTATCTTTTTCTTTGGTGTAGCATGTGATAATGGGATCGAGGAATCTGGAACAATTGAATTTTAAAAGTCAATACCACTATTATAACATGAAATATTATTTGTATTATGTATGTTGCGTGAAAGAGGAAAAGAAACTAGAACATGGTCAATCATTTTATGCATATCATTTTCCTCTATGCAATGTAAAGTATTCTGTTTTCATTTTTTAGCGTTCATCATTGCTATCCTTCATGTCTGGCTTTTCAAGTCTTATCTTAACCAGTAAACTGTATTGGTATAGGATAAATTTTAACTCTTTTCACAAAAAATAGAACGCGATGATTGGATAACGAGGAAATCTTCTTAATTAAAAATCGAGCTTTCGAATGTAAAAAAGTAAATACCTTTTATTATTATAAATATAGGGAAAAAAAATATAGGAAATGATCTCAAAAAAATTAATTAATTTAGACGTTGCTGCTTGTTTTAATAATTTAAAATATTTTTAAGTCGCGGCCAACTATGAACAGTTTAAAGTTTGCCACCACTGTTTTGCGAAAATGCACACTGAATAAACTGTTTACTCGGATTAGAAAATGGCCTCACCAATTTTTTCTTTTAAAAAAGCTGCAAAATTACGACTCAAGTTAACGTGAATATTGAAAACGCAGTAATATAGTAAGGATGGGCAAGGTAATCTCAGAATTTGAATTTCCAAGGTAGTTTTTAATAGTGTAATCCCAATGACTGCGCCGCTAAACTTGACATGTTTGCGTTCATGCGACAGGCGATGCTGAAAGATTCCGGTTAAATGACGTTTGAAACTTCAAGATTGGAAGAACCATCAGTTACGTTTCTTTAATTATTTCTTAGTATTATTTCTATTTTTTTCTTTTGGTAAACTGACCCTTAAAGAAAATTACAAGGTACTGAGCTAATATAAAGAGGGTCGCTTCAGGATTTGGTTAAACCGAATTCAGTAAATGTAGCGATTTGCTTTGGATTTTTGAGTAGCTTAAATGATCCACAAGATTTATGCCATTACCAATTTAGGGGAAATTGAAATCACTATCGTAGTTCGTTTCCGATTCTAATTTTCTTTTCCAGTGAAGTAATTAAAAACTCTCCAGTCTGTCTAGAAACTAGCAAAACGGACGATTCCTGACGACCTCTCAAAAGGGGAATACATTTTTACTTGTCGCTGTCTTGACGAAGTAATTACAAACTGTTGATTTTTCAACATTAAAACATTGGAAAACCGAACGACAGGAAAATGCCTTCATCTTCTCGCAATATTCAATTCGCTGAAATTTTCGTTTGCTACCATAATCGTTGTCATCGAGCAGACCTGTCGTTAATTTTCTTAGCTCTCAAATTACAGCATTTTCAAATAATTTTTTTAGCTCTCAAATTACGGCATTTTGTAAATTTCCATAGTTTTGCATTTATCGCTTTCTTCTCATTTTTTCACTGTGTTATCTCCGTCAGGGGCCTTTGAACTCAATTCATGATAGAAAAAGATGCCAATATTGTCGAACAATACGCAAAAAAAGAGAGATTGATCAATGTAGGACATTTACAATGGAAAGATAATGTAGGGAAAATAACAAATGAAGCCAGGACACAGCGTAGCTGAGTTGCGTAGAAACAGCACTTACCTTTTGGTAAGGAGAAGGAGAAGGACAAAATCTCCTATTAGAAATTACAAAAAAAATACAAAAAAAAATCAACTGGGTTTCATGAGATCAAATATTTTCTTGGTTCAACTTTTATCGTCCCTTTATGTATAATCTACCGACCTGTAACACTAAAATGAACACTGCGAGACGGGGACTTCTCATGTTCCCGCTTGGAGCTGCTAGGTTTCATCTGAGGTTAAACACAATCTTTTTGTTCGTAACTGCTACACGATGCGTACGTGTATGAAGGGTTTTTTTTTTTCGATAGGCAGTCTTCGTTCTTCCTTGCTTCTCGCTACCATCTGCTCGTCAATCTGCTAGATATTTGTACTAAGTGTGTGTCAATCTACCAATCAGCCAATCGGCTTTAAAAGATGTGACAAGGTGTTAGTTTTTCATCAACGGAGCCAGTATTGTGCTAATGAACTGTCTGTTACGGCTCTCTTGTTGTGTGTTGATTTGTTTCTTCTAAACTACGATGCTATAAAAGTCTTTAACTTCTCCGACTATTAAAGAGTTGAACGTAAATCTTTCGTGAACTCTCCTGTGGAACCAATAATGGATTATATACGATCTTTGGTGTGCAGAACGTCATCCTTATCGTATTTGGGCGCGATATCACTAGTGAAGCTATAGAAAAAATAGATAAAGCTGATTTGACTCGTATCTGTTGATATTGAATGACGGAGATGTTGGACAAAAGATCTCTTATTTTTCCCTTTAAGTATTGCGTCATAGTGGTCGCTTAAAATTATCTAGTGGTGTAAAGAAAATTAAAGGTAAATTTCAGGCATGGAATGCAATTACTGAGGTCAACAACCTTGGATAAAGAGAATGGAAACAAAATTAAGTACTAAAATGTAACTCGGAAATTAAGAGCGCAGAACGTCACCTTGTTAAATTATTGTGTTCACTCGCTGACAACGGCGATAAATATCCATCCTCTAATCACTGGTTCTTGAGGTTTGTTGAAAGATTTTGACATCCGTGAACGTCTATTGTCAGATATATCAGATATTTGATACGGTATTAAGAAATACGCAGGAAAAAAAAAAAAAAAAAACTCTTTTGTAGCCGCGACGGTTTACTTCATTAGTCGTGCATGAGCCAGAGTTACACTAAGACACCGTTTATCACCTCGCTTGATGGATACAACAAATACTTTGAAAGATCAATACTCATGGGTTGGTCATGTTCTTGCCTTTCTTCTTTTTCTTTTCAAAGTTATCTAAAATCTACAACCAAATTAAAATCGATTTCTTTAAGTGGTTAATGCAAGTTATTGCCAATGTCCTTTGAAGCAAAAGCTGTTACAACTTTCATTCTAAGTATTAGAGTAATGCATTTCTTGGTATTGTTTCTATAACAGCCCATGTATGTATTGTGGCTATGGCACAAAAGTTATCCGATGAGAATTATTCTTGTTCCGTTTGTTCATTTCGTTTTTAACACGTGAATTGCGATAGCAAGTCACGATTTGTAGTGGGCAGTCGATTATTCATATGATTATTCATAGCTCCGTAACACAATTGACCGTAATTTTTTTTGCATGTAATGGTAAAGCAATTTAAGTGCACGAAAGTCAAACCATTATCTCACAATGTAATACGGTTGTTATCTATGTGGTGACCATTTCAAAACGGATCACGTTCCTTTTCTTCTCTTCAACGGCCAAATAATTACGCAGTTCATGCTAAGACCAGAAACAAAAACAAAAACAAAACAAAACAAAAAAAAATAACGACCAAAATGCTCGAAAAGAACTCTGCCTCTTGGTTCAATTAAACAGATTTGCGTGATCAAAACTGGAGAGCGCGTTCCAGTGTGTAAGACATTAACACATTATTTCATTTCTCGGTATCCGAGTAGTCCTCTAAGTAAAAATCACAGGACGTTTGACATTTTTCTTGAAGTTTCTCTGAGTTAAGCAATGAGTAGCAAAGCGTTACGATGATTAAGGCAAGATCATGTACTCTCGCACGATAACGAGCATGCTGGTATAGAAATAATTCCAATCTCGTTCCTCGCGTCTTCGTTCCTTACAGCGCAAGCTTTACGAAACGAGCGACTCTCGAAAGTTCTGCTACAGGCTCGATTTTGATTGGTTTTGAAAACAACGGAAATGAGCGGAAGTAAAACACCAGCGTATCGATTGAGCCACGCGTCTGTCAGCTAAACATGTGCAATTCAACTGGAAGTCCGATATTTTCGGACTTCAAATCGGGCCTTTCTTGTTTCAGTTGTTTCACGATCGCTGGTCAAGGGGAGCGAAGACTCTGGGTACGAGGATGGAAATAATTCGAGAAGACGTTCTAGAACAATAAACGCGATTACTCTTTACAGGAGTTATTTCACTTTATCGATGCAATATCAGGAAAGAATAAGAAAGACTGCGAACGACGAACAATAAACAGTAAATTGTTTTTCATTTTAAAGGTCTCACCCTATGGTTTCATACAAAAAGTTGTAATTTCCATATTAGTTCACACAATGTTTGTTTTGGAGTGCGAAAGGTTAAATTCACACTAGCATTTTTAATAGTGCCAAAATTGAATTCGAATCATAACAATCTTCTTTTACAAACTCAGGCACACATTTAACGGACGAAATTCGATTGTCTTGTCTAATTTTATATGACTGCGAAATCTAGTCCATTGTGATTGGCTGAGAGCAGGTCAATTAATAGTTAATTTTAAATTTGCACTGCAGCGCGAATTATCGCGTACGCGTTCGTAATTTTCTCAGTCATATAATAAATGAAGAATCGTATGAAAGCTCAAGCAATTAAGGATTTACACTACTTGTGATATTTGAAAATTCTTTCAAATTGCACTTTCCTAAAGCCTAGTGCAATTTTAAGAGAATTTTCAAGTGTAACCATACGACTAGCGATGCCAATTCACTCATTCAATCTTGCATCCTTGAACGCTTATGTGAAATTTTTCTCCAGAGATGTTTTCAACTTTCCTGAAACTAATAGTATTAGTTGAATTCGATCGTGAAATTTGGAGATGCTGGGGAAATGTGTTGTACTTAACTTGTTACACCTTTCCCAGGGATAAAAATTCCCCCAGTCACAAATTTAACCGTGCCATTTTAATATAATGCTGTTACCTGTGGTTGTGTTAACTACGAATTCGCAAATGAATGCTTTGGAAGCCAAGCAGCTCAAGTCATTATATTTCCCGTATGTTCCTTTGGGGTACTCCTTAGCAATAACCGCACATTGCCCATCCCCTGACGGTTCGTGATATTGCCAGTGTGGGTTGGTCAACTGTTGTCCAGTGATCCACTGCCAATTTTCTCTTTGACTGTATCCTGTTTTCAAGCCGATGAACCACTCGTTATCTGCTGAATTGGAAAGGTTTTGAATTTCGTCCGTAATGAACTTCCATTTTCTTTCGGTTGCCAAGGTAACGAGTCGTCCTCCATCTTTTCTGCATTGTTTTTCACTGTCAGTCCAAGTAGTGATGTTTTTGTTGTTGAAGTTGTACAGCACATCATCTTGGACAGCTATGTTTGGGAAAAACGATTTACGAAAATGGCACATTGTACACTGAACCTAAAAATGTGGGGCGAAGAACAAAAGCCAACCGATGGGTTTAATGCTAAGGGCTTTCTCTTCTTTGCATTAAAATATGCATCACAGCTATAACCACTTTTACTACCGGACAGAGCCTTTTATGATTTGCTATCCTGTGGTGCAGTTCTGTTCATTGCAAGTCAACAGAGCGTCCAATAATGGATGGAAATAACATCATCGACCAACAAAAAATGTATACCGGTTGTTTTGTCGTCAACCTTGCAAAGAGCGGTTGTCAATGGATTTAAACATCGACAATCTGCGTCGGTCTTCAAAAAACATTCCCACCCAACATTAGGACTCTCATTTCTAGAAAAAAAAGAAAACGAGTCTTTTCAAGGGAAATCGTTCTCTGAGTTTCAACTGTATGAACCAGTGATTTTAATTATATAGGGTACGTTTTCAGATGGCGACAATGTGAAGTGACATCCTTCCGGCGGGTTTTTGATTGGAAACAAGAATTGTAATTCTGGTCTGTTCACACACTTTCTATTTGCTCTGCTATCTTCAAACTAGGGCGCGAACAAAATAAAAAGCATTGGGGATTTAAAAAGTGAGGGTGCAAGTTGCACTATCGCCCCGCGCAGTTTCTCGCCCGCTTTTGTCCCCTTCTAGCTTTTTCCTAAGAAAAAAAAATAAGCTGTTGGAAAAGCTGTTGTGATTCTTCTTATTTGTCGACAACTTCACTGGTTCCCGAGACTGACACTTCTAAAGTAGTCAATAGGGAAACCCGACGCTGCTACTGAGTGTCAAACCAACAAAAAGTTTTACGAAAATCAAATAGGTACATTTTCATTTTGTGTGTGGTTCAAACGCGCGTATCTTTATGTGTATGTTCTATTTTTCAATAGAAGCCCAACGTTTCCAGCTTTTTTGAAAAAGCAGTTGTGAAAAATAACTTATCTGGTCTAGGAAATCCATTCGATGTAGCAGGAAGTACTACATGATCCAATCTATACTTTTGGAAATGCTCCTTTCGCACCTAACTGTCGTGAACACTGAATCTCACAGTGCATACATGGCTTTTGGTTTTCCATTGCAAGGCAATATGAAATGTAATAAAACAAATGGATACCTGATAATAAAAGCACCCTGATAAATGCGAAATTCTTACACCTGATCAGTTCGCCTCTCAGTTGCGACTCGATCGATAGTATGTCAAGCTATGGTTAGTGTTCCAGGAAAGAATAGGCATGAGGCTTTTTTGGAGGTAAAAATGCGATCTCTGAGAGACTGCAGAATTGCGACAAGCGAAAAAAAAGACTGCTTTTTGTCTATCGAAGAACCTGTTGCTAAGATATGCTGAATCTGGTCAGCGATGTCGTATCAGTGCAAGATAGGATTATTGCATCGTCCCTTCCCAAACAGACCCCGGTTTACTTCCTGGTTGTATCGATCGTTATCTCCTTAAATCATGCACAGTTTTGGCAAAGACACTTGCATCGAATAGGGGTAACATACACCCAAGTTCAATGTGTACGAACGCTTTAATTAAAAGTGAAGTAAGGCGTGTTCAGCGTAATTAATTTTCATTATATTTCTGTTATTCAGTACCTTGAAATAATTAGGTTACCAAGATGGCCTCTGTCAAATTATGAAAACAGTAATATTAATTGAGATTACAAAAGCCCTCCGACGAAGGAAATGATGATCAAAAGCTATTTTATATGCAACACATTCAAAGAAAAAAGGTTATTTATAAGATACGGAAAGGGCCTTGCAGTGATTTACAGATTTCAATTTTTGCTGCATAAACGTTATGTCCTATGCCACAAGTTTAATCTCAGCATTGAACCAAAGCCTGTTAAGATTACAATATTCTAGGCTGCCATAAACGTCTAATTTCAGAGCTATAAATGAAGCTAGCTAGGACCTAATTGAATCCGTTAGATTTTTGTAAAATACCCCTTAATAAACCTACCTGTATGAAATTTCACCTCACCAACGCCAACGGTAACCTATACAAAAAAATTCACTTCTTAAGTAAGGAGAAATTTGTCCCTTTCTCTGCTATTTTAAAACATGTCACCATGGATTGAAGGATTACCTACCAAAGTTAAGATGTAAAGAACCGCTAAGAATGATTGCTTCAAAATTTTCTGGGTATCCATTTCCCCGGCTTTCCTTTCAACACCGACCCCAAATTGAAATTAATTATTATCACTCTCAGCTTACCTTTCGTTTGATTGGTAGGATTGTGTACGTGAAGGTGAAAGGAAGCGTTGAAGAAATCAACTGTTTAAATATTTATCCTTTCCAAGTGCCAAGTGCGAACAGTCCAGCCAGTCCCCGTCGTTCTGTTTAAAAAACAATAATATTAGATTTGCTTTGTGTACAAAAGAAGACGTGCTCTTCGATGTAAAGTGGACATCGACGAATCATAGTTTCCACAGCTGACACATTCTCGTTTTTGTTTGATTTGGCATCCATTTGAATTGAACGTTTTTAATTTGAGTTAGTGCGAAAGGCTGTCCTAAAAAAGAGCTGCAGTTGAAACATTATTTTTTCTTCGATGCAATCGAAATGGCAATCTCTGCCAAAATTAGAAATGCGATAGGCATGGATTGAAATGGAACGTTTTATAGGAACATTAAAAAAAAAAAGAAAAAAAAAATAGCATGCCTTAGGCTTTAATTGGTAAATGACATCTTATTTCTACTGTCTACTAGCCACATGTTTTTTTGGCCCATTTTATGCATGAAATACACGTACCTTGCCTTTAAAACAAACAGCTTATATAATGTGATGGTATAACGCAGATAGTATTGTTCTTAATGCAGGCGCATTCGTAACCACTGACTGGTGTTAAAGTTCTATCTTTTGTGACGGAAGTATTTTGTTTTTTCAGTGTTTTTTTTTCCTTCGACTTTTAACGCAGTTTATTTTCATTGTTGGTTTCATTATTTATAATAAATCAACCCTGATCTAATTCAGCACACGAGAAAAAATATAGTGATATCAAGTATCGTAGTGACGGTTCTGTATAACGTTTGACATCACTGATACGAAATAAAGCCGAATTCAGTATTTTAGTTTATCAGAGTGGCGGTTTCCGAGGTCCAAACATTATTGGCGTTTGTGGAACATTGTAGTTTGAGAAAGTTTTCTTTATAATACTGTCCAGTCTACATTTTGCAGCCTTTTGTCGTTGTTTCCATGTATCTTTTTGGTGTTATTCACTGACCGATAAATAAATTGCTTGCAAATTCATTTCCTTTGACAATGATGGCGCTAAATTATTCGGGGAATTTCGATGAATCAAAGGGAGAAAGCAAGAGCATATTTTAAATGAAGTATATAATCCATGTTTGGTTGCGTTTTTCTCTTTCGTTTTAACTATGAACAAGTTCAAAGCTAGTGAAGCCAGGGGTTCAAACAGACAGAAAAAGAAGGAAGGAACGAAGGAACGAAGGAACGAAGGAACGAAGGAACGAAGGAACGAAGGAACGAAGGAACGAAGGAACGAAGGAACGAAGGAACGAAGGA